TTGACGTCACACTTCAAAGAAGCCACGTGACAAGCTTCACTGGGTCAGTCTACTGAGGAAGACCAGAGTGACTGGTCAAAAGCTTTAGTGAGAGAATTTTTTGTGTTGTGTAACTACCAACACAGATGAACTTTCATGATAGTAGGGAAAAAAGTATTTCAAGACCTGAAATTACAATTCATAGAGTATCTAATGGATCGTTTATCGATTATTTTTCTTCCAGAGCCGAGAAGAAAACAGGCAGCACAGATCGTGTACCCTCCCTCGCACCAGACCCTGACTGTGCAGAGAGGGTCTGACGTGCTGCTGGAGTGTGTAGCTTCAGGGTTCCCCACGCCATCAGTTACATGGAGAAGGGACCAGGGACAACTCCACAAGGCTAAACGGTGGGTCCTGCCTCGTGCATCGATCATTGACAATCCCGTATTTAAAAAATTGTTGGATCCCTTACCCACAGACATAGCCACATGCTTGTCACTCCCGAATTTCAAAGTGGGACTGGCCTGTTTTATGGGCCTGCCCACATCTGAGTAGAACATACATCATGCTAAGACGGCCATCACTTTTCTGTTGGCACCTTGTACAGACAGTTAAGTTTTTTGGCACCTTGTACAGACAGTTAAGTTTTCTTTCACTTCGTTATGAGCACCTCCACCACCGGCCGTACTTAGCCGCACACCAATTGCAAGACCTTCCCTGGACGTTATACCCGAAAGGGTTTTGTTCCAGTAATTATAAGATTAAGATTAAGATTATTGCTGAGGACACATTTCCAAACCGTGGCCCAGCCGGGCAGAGTTCAAGAACGGTATGATATAGAAGAGAAGAAAACACAAAAAAGTTTTGGAAACTTGTAATGCGGAAATGTAATCTCAGCATTACATTTGTTTGCTTGTACCTTTACCTTGACACAGATATTTCTCTTTCAATTAATCAATCTACCAATAAGTCACTCATTGCTTGTACTTATCCTCAATAATATTATTATTATATTATAAAGGCCATTCTCCATGTTCAGCAAGCCACCATGACATGAGACCCAAAGTCAAATCATTTCGAGGTCTCCTCAAGACCTACCCACCTACATGTACCAAGTTTCATGACAATCCATCCACAGCTTCTTGAGTTACCATGCTATACACACACACACAACCTTACCAAAAACATGACCTTCTGGCGAAGTAAACAAAGAAAACAACATGAAATTTCCCGTTTCAGGGTCCTGGATAACTTACTACTGAAGGACGTACAGCCAGATGATGCAGGCATCTACACTTGTTCAGCAGAAAATGGCAAAAATCCCAGAGTCAGAGTAAACTACATCCTCACAGTCACAGGTACGTCTTAACTATTAAATTTCGCCAGTCTTGACTAACAATACTTCTTATTTATTGGGTAGAAATATTATGAAACTTAATTGATATTTCAAATTGTGAGGTATACACTGGTAAGAACAGGGAGAGTTTTACATTCAGATCAGTTACATTAGTCAGAATATTACATTTATTGATAAGTTCAAAAAGTTGTATACTTGGTTGGTCAGACAAGAATTTTTTTTATCAAGTGTAGCAAGAATAGCAGTATCAAAGGATCCCTTTGTGCCAATGAGCCCATAAGAATTCTGTGAACCTTAAAAAGTACAACACACAACTGGTCAAAGGTAGTGGATGCTATCTAAAACGCCTGACTGTTTCCAAAATCATATCCAGTTGCTTGAGTAACTGCTCTTTGGTGAATGAAAGGTTTGAATGAAACTAAGGTTTATTCGTCAAAAACACATGGCAGCCACAGGCTGAATTGCGTGTTTTACAACAATGACAGATTTAAAAATACACTAAGTACATACTTGACCACATTAAAAGTAATTAAGGGAAGTGATTTTAAAACCTACATTATATATACGTGGTGTATAACATGTAAGTGTTTTCTTTCCAGACATGAGTAGCATCAGCCAAGGCCCAGAAGACACGGTGACCACCGCTGGTCTGAACGTCACGCTGACATGCAGAACAACAGGCTCCCCCAGACCTCAGGTCCACTGGCTACACAACATCCAGCCTGTGGGTCTCGACGAGAGGCACTTCCAACAAGGTAGGGATCTTCATGAAAGTTCATCTTTGTTGGTAGTTATATGTTTAAAGTTAAAACTTCATGAGAAAATTTCATGCTGACAGTTTCTTCCCCAGAACCACTTCACTGTGGAACAAGCTTCCCCGTGAATGTTTCACCGCTAATTACAACCTCCAACGGTTTAAATCAAGGGTGAACAAATATCTGACCACGCAGTCATCACTGTAACCCAAAACATGTAAGTGGCTCTCACGAGCCTTGTTTTGAGGTGAATTCTAAAGTAAATAAAAAAAAAAAAAACTTTTGTTCCAACACCAAAAATACTCTCACCTAGAGCTTTCGACCAGTCACTCTGGTCTTCCTCAGTAGACTGACCCAGTGAGGCTTGTCACGTGGCTTCTTTGAAGTGTGATGTCAACACTGGGTCAAAGGTATCTGGTAGACGATGTCGACCCCCGTCGCTGTTCAATGTAGGGTGATGGGCCCTGATGTATATGGCTTCCTTCACCCCTCTCAAGAAAAAGCTTTAGGTGAGAGAATTTTTTGTGTTGGAACAAAAGTTTTAACTTTAAAAAGGTAGGGATCTCTTACAGTCTGATTTTATTTTGTTTTATGTATCTGCAACTATTTTTGACCAATGTGCTGTAGTTTTACCTAGCTATCAGTTGTTTTAGTGTTTCTGCCTACCAGGATTGCAAACTTGCAGGCATGTACCAGTGTGCTGTAGTTTTACCTAGGTTTCAGTGTTTTTAGCATTTATCCTCACCTCACCGGTCCCATAGCAGTCATGTCACTGCCGTCGGGGCAACTAGACTGTCAACAAGGCTCTTCCACCCAGGGCGGTCCTCCGCTAGACTTGTCAGGTGACTCAGGGGATGTTAGCATTTATGCTGACTGGAATTGTGCTGTAGTTTTACGTAGGTTTCAGCGTTTTTAATGTTTGTGCTTACTGGGATTGTAACTTGTGTTTCCCACAGACTCTGACCTGGTTATCGCAGAGCTCCAGCCGACAGATGCAGGCATGTACCAGTGTGCTGTAGTTTTTCCTAGGTTTCAGTGCTTTTAGTGTTTATGCTGACTGGAATTGTAACTTGTGTTTCCCACAGACTCAGACCTGGTCATCGCTGAGCTCCAGCCGACAGATGCAGGCATGTACCAGTGTGCTGTACTTTTTCCTAGGTTTCAGTGCTTTTAGTGTTTATGCTGACTGGAATTGTAACTTGTGTTTCCCACAGACTCAGACCTGGTTATCTGGGAGCTCCAGCCGACAGATGCAGGCATGTACCAGTGTGCTGTACTTTTTCCTAGGTTTCAGTGCTTTTAGTGTTTATGCTGACTGGAATTGTAACTTGTGTTTCCCACAGACTCAGACCTGGTTATCTGGGAGCTCCAGCCGACAGATGCAGGCATGTACCAGTGTGCTGTAGTTTTACCTAGGTTTCAGTGCTTTTAGTGTTTCTGCTGACTGGAATTGTAACTTGTGTTTCCCACAGACTCAGACCTGGTCATCGCTGAGCTCCAGCCGACAGATGCAGGCATGTACCAGTGTGCTGTAGTTTTACCTAGGTTTCAGTGCTTTTAGTGTTTCTGCTGACTGGAATTGTAACTTGTGTTTCTCGCAGACTCAGACCTGGTCATCGCTGAGCTCCAGCCGACAGATGCAGGCATGTACCAATGTGTGGCCAGCAACTCTCTCAACACTGTCATGGCACAGGCATGGCTCAAGGTGGAAGGTCAGTAGCCATTCATTGTATTGATGTATAATTACATGTTAAGGACCATGTGGATCCAAATAAATAAGTAAAGTAGTTGTGTTATTAAGGAAAACATACTTACTTGTCTTAGTTTCATTTTTTACGCCGTGTTCGCTTGTCGAATTTCCAGCAAACACAGTGACAGATCAGTTAGCCTTTCGTTTTAACAGTTAATTTTATTCTTGCCCACAGTGCCGGAGGGTTACCCCACAGTGGAAACCAGCCCGTCCGACGCTGCCGTCGAAACCGGGGAAGTTGCCGTGTTCGCTTGTCGGATATCCGGCAGCCCTGCGCCGGATGTCCGGTGGGAACGCGACGGCAAGCCCGTCACCCCCGACGGAGACCGCGTCGTGATCGAAGACGGAAGCTTGAGCGTCGTCGGCGTGACCAGGGAGGACGAAGGGCGGTACAAGTGTGTGGGGAGGAACGCGGTGGGGCAGTCCTGGGCCGCTGCCTCTCTCACAGTCTGTAAGTCTTTATTACCTTCGCCAAGAAGGTTATGTTTTCAGTAGCGTTTGTCCATCTGTCCGTTTGTCTGTTTGTCTGTCTGTGAACAGCATAACTCAAGAAGCTTAATATGCATTGTCATGAAACTTGGTAGGTGGGTAGGTCTTGATGAGACCTAGAAATGATTTAGATTTTGGGCCCCCTGGCGGCTTTTGTTGGTACTGCAGCAGAACTTCCGGTTTTGATATCTCGCGATCAGGACATGCTAGGGTCACGAATTTTAGTTCGTAGGTAGCTCTTGGGGTAGGGAAGAAGTGACATGAGTTTGGGCCCCCTAGTTTTTCTTTATTTCGATTCCCTTTAGCCCAAAAGGGCAAAATCTTCTGGGGCTCATACAAAGCCAAGTCAAGTGTAAACAGCATCATTGTTTCAAGTACAAGTGTGTGGGGAGGAACGCGGTGGGACAGTCGTGGGCTGCCGCCACTCTTACAGTCTGTAAGTCAAGTTTCGAAAGCTATATTTTTAAGCCTGATTTTCAGATAAATAGAGAATACTACATGGTGTATTCCATATCTTCTGAGGTACCAAGGGTAATGCGGAAGACACTGACTGAGAAAACCATCCGAGAAAACACTTATTTCAATGCAAAATGTGCCACAAGTTTGGTGTCTTTTAGAAAAAAATTTTAAAAACATCAATTCCAACATCCTATGTCCGAAAGTGGCTAATGTTCAAACTTACTATATTATTCTGTGGAGTTTTGGTAAACATTTTAGAAGTCACATATTTCTTGACTTGTATTTTGCAGTGGTCCCGACCACTCCGATGACTGTAGCCGTCGTGAAGACGGGAGACTTTCACCATCGACGGGGGCAGAACATCATGGAGAGGAACATGTGGCTTCAGAAACAAGTCCAAGGTTTGTACTGAGTTTGTGATCTACCAATCACGAGAATCTACCTGTATTGTAATAAATGATTTGAACTATATGGAAGATGTTACAGTTGAATGTGAAAGTGACGTGGACCCTCGTAACAGTAAAGAACATGAAGTAAACTGTCATTGAGACAGACTGTCTATGTTGGAGAGAGGTTTGTACTGAGGTCTCTGTTAGCTGTGATGAATACAAGATATAGGTCCAGGAGATGTTACTCAGGTTTTGTGGATCGACTATGAATGAAACACACTGATAATCGACAAGATCTTACAACATGTTAGCTGTATGTTGATGTAATCCCCTGTCTTATACATGTTTGTACTTGTGTCCTCTTCTGGAAGACTAGTTGTTGTCACTTAGTCATAGACAGACAGCTTTTTAAGGCGAGATTGAACTCCAATAACCTGTTTTCTCTAGTCATTAGTTGTGGGGCTGACAAAATAGTTTGATGCAGAATGTGGATATCTGATAAAGCCTCTTGATAGACATGGACAACTGAATGTTTATGTTCAAGATCCTGCCCCTCGTTACTTCAGAGACCACTATTAGCGTATTATCTGTTCTGTTTTTTGTGACATCTCCAGTTACTTCTAATATTTGTCCTTGTAATATTGTGAATTTGGTTGTGTTGTCTGAACTGTTGTGTTGTTTGTGACACGTGTGGCGTCCTTGTTAACCCCCTGTGTGTGGTGTTTGAACTGTCCTCACAGGAGAAAGGGAACGAGGTAGCCAGAACAGTGGACGTTCCGCTCCAGTCCCCCCTCTTAGTGGCCCCAGAACCCCCATAGGCCCTTCTTCACAGTCTGGTATGTACATTGGGTTGGTCTTTTTTCCATGGCAAAAAAAAAAAATAAGTCTTCAGATTTTCACCCATACCATTTTAAGCATCCACTGTCATCTTCCTTATGCTAAAATTGAAAATATTTACAAGAAAAATGGTTTACAAGAAGAATGGTATCTCTTGACTAACACTGTTCTTCAAATGAACAAGTGAAACATCTATGACGGCTAGACATCCAGGTAATGAGATACACAAGGAGTTTGTTACTCAAGCAACTGGATAGATTTTGAAAACTGAAGAGTAGTGGATGCTACTTGAAATGTCTAACAGTTTTCAAAATCTATCCAGTTGCTTAATTAAGTAACAACTTCTTGTAAAAGAATGAAACTGAAACCTAACAGTAAACACAAGATTTAGCATGAAAGTTTGATGCACTGGACATTGAAAGCCTGAATAGGAACCACGTCATTTCATTCATGCGCAAAGAAAGGTGCTACATGCTTGTCAAAGCACTTTGGTTGTTTGAGACATGTTTCCGAAAATGCAGCATGCTATGCAGTCCATCCCTGATGGTGTAACTACTAGTCTTCTACCAGACTAACTATGCTGGCTATATATAGGAGAATATTTGCCAGTGGAGTTTGACCACCTTGTAGGTCTGACTGGCTGCGCAGTTTGGAGGGAAAGAAACAACCTTCCGCAGCCGGACTTCCTGGGCCAATTTTACTCTCCTTTTTGCCGAATTCTACAATCCATATTCCCGTAGAAAGGCCTGGTAGAGGCTATGATGCTGTGCAGTTTTCTCAGTAGTGGTGCTACTAACTATGTTCTAACTTTGTCACTCTTTCTCTTCACCTCTCACGCTTCCTGCTTGCTCAGAACCAGGTTTGGAAACGTTGTGTCCTTTTCCCCTCGTGTACATGTAGTCAGCCTTTGTTTATTACCGATTCAGTGTGTGAAGTGTCCTTTGACTGGAATTCTGAGACATTGAATTGTCAGCTGTTTAGAGTAACTTTGTTTTTGCCAAAAAAACAGTTACTAAAGCAACTGGATATGATTTTGGAAACGGTCAGACGTTTCAGGTAGCATCGACTACCTTTCGTCAGTGACACTGGAGAGTTGTCAGAAAAGCAGGTTTATAAGCACGAACTATTGATTGATACACAAATCATTGAAGACAAATTTTTCTAAAGTCCAAAAGAAAACAAAAGTTTGACAAGTCAAGACATGGATGATGCAACTCTCCAGTGTCACTGATGAAAGATAGTGGATGCCACCTGAAACATCTGACCGTTTCCGAAGTCATATCCAGTTGCTTGAGTAACTGTTTTTTTGGCGTATCTTATTACCAGGATGTCTAACCTTCACCGATGTAACTTTGTTTTCCGTTTCCGAAGTCATATCCAATTGCTTGAGTAACTGTTTTTTTTTGGCGTATCTTATTACCTGGATGTCTAACCTTCACCGGCGTAACTTTGTTTCCCTTTTCTTTTTTCTTTTCAAATTGTCATACATATGCCATTTATGCAATATTACAATCTAACCCTTGTCGGTATGGATCGAAATGATCGAACAATGACTCGTATTTGCTACGTAGGCGCCAAACGTTGAAACATTGATCGAGCATACTTTACAAATTTCCCGTGACTTTGATACCAGCTAACATGATCTAAATTGGACCAGCCAGACAAGTTTCCCTTTTCTCTCCCACCAGTTCCCGAAGCTCCGAGCAAACCCCGGATCAGCCGCGCGTCCGACACGTCCGTTTACGTCTCCTGGGTGCCGAGGTCCAACGGAGGCTCCCCCATCACAGCCTTCAAGGTGCAGTACAAGATTTAATAAAATTTAATTATTCTGTCAGCAAAAATCTTTATAATATTATACAATAATAGAAAGTCCAACAAAGTAAATTTTGAATCCTTTCTTTGATCTATAATTTTTTTTTTTAAAGTTGAATACTATATTGCTGCAAGAAAAGGAAAGGTGGGAAAACATCTAGGAAAATGGGGCACTCTTGGTGATTAGTACTGTTGTGGTGAACTTTTAGTATGGCTACTTTTGTCTGTTTCTTTGTTTGACTGTTGACCCTTATTTTGTATATTATATTTCTTGAGATGACAAATTAGGTATTGATTTGTAACTGGATGGTTACCAATTTATGTTATTTCTTTGTTATTAAAAAAAAAAAAGGTGCAGTACAAGAAGATCACAGACGGGAGCAAGGAGCGGTGGAGGACGGCGTCAGACAAGATCCCCCCCACCACGCTGTCTTACCAGGTCAAGACACTGCAGCCAGGTAAGGAGAAACTTGTGTACACCTGTACCTATGAATCTTAAAACCTTAGAGTGTATAAAAGTATGTTAGATCAAAACATTGATCTCAGTAAGATCTAGATAAGTTGTACTGAAGAAAACTTGATAGTCTGGTCCTGTGAGATACCATGTACATGTACAATATTTTGCCTTTTAAGTCATTTCTGCTTGGATCTGTTTCTGTGAGGCTTAAGATATGATTCTATGGCTGTAGTTGATTTAGTCATTTTAGTTATAATTTTTCGCAGCTCTCATTTCTTAGTATAAGTCTGTACATGTACTTGTATGTAAGTCTATAAGTTTGTGTATCTGTTATATGTATTTGTATTTGTTTCACGAGCCCTGGTAGATTAGTACCCTTCAAGAGGATTTACATGTAGGGTATCATAAACTGATGGCATCATACGGCAGATATATTGCATCCTGCTGACGTTTGCGATGCCGTGCGTTGTTCCCAGGCCAGACCTACAGATTTCGAGTCATGGCCATGGACATGCACCCAGCATTTCGAGCCCTGTGGTGTATATTGCATTTCAGTGGTGCTTGGACTTTGTGTGAGGCTTCTGTTGTAAGGCTGTGATGTAGGGTAGACATTTCTCTCATGTCTTGCTAACATGATACTGTGTGTTCTCATCAGGCCTTTTGAGCATAGGGGCCCCCTATGCTGTAATCTGGACCCCCTATGCTGTGATTTGGACCACAATGCTGTCTTTTAACCAGCATGGGGTGTTTTTTGGGGAGAACCTTCATAAATCTTGCATAAAATGAAAGTATAACTTTAAATGAAGCTAAAGCTTTAAGTTTAACTTCACAAAATCTGGCCCTCAATAAAGAAGAAATAGCGTCTCAGGGGGTTGTGAGTTTCAAATTTTTTCTGCTCAATGCGTGACTTGCGCTGCGAAATTTGTCCTTCTGTACCTGACCCCTATGCTGTGAAAAATTCTAGTGAGAACCCTGATGATACCGTGTGTTGTTTCCAGGCCAGACCTACAGATTTCAAGTCATGGCCATTGACACGCACCCAGCATTTCGAGCCCAGTGGTGTATCTTGCATTTCAGTGGTGCTTGGACTTTGTGTGAGGCTTCTGTTGTAAGGCTATGATGTAGGGTAGACATCTCGTGTCTTTCTAACATGATACCGTGTGTTGTTTCCAGGCCAGACGTACAGATTTCGAGTCATCGCGATTAACGGTCTCGGGGAGAGCCGGCAGAGCCAACAGTCCAGCCAGTACTCGGTCGAAGGTCAGGCGGTCAAAGGTCACGTGAGCAGGCCGGTGGTTGGACCGCACATCACGGAGATTCTTGCCGTCAGTCCCACCAGCATCTCTGTCAGATGGAAGGTAGGGTCATATTCATATTGTGATATCAACTGCACACTCAGTTAGGAAATACTGTTCTGTTCTTCAACATCACTGTTCCCCATGCAAGAACCAAACGGCTGCAACAGTCCTTCTTGCACTATACCATTAGACTCTACAACAACCTACCTTGAACCTACACTGGACTTTGCATAGCCTTACCAAGAAACTATGTGCATATCTGTTGTAAATAATTTTTATATGTGTCTTTTGTATATATGTTAGTTTAGATATATTATTTTTCAATGTGAATGTTGTTTTTTTAAATAATGTGACAAATTGTACCTAATTCAGGGGGATGCGCTTCAGCTCCCCCTGCTGTTGTACATTTGTAAAATGATGAGCAATAAACAAAGAAAGTATATAGTAGTTTTGATCTAGTGTTAGCTTGATCATGTGTTGGCACACATTGTACATGTATGTAGAAGCTATTCGTGCCTGGCACGTCTGACCAATTGCTGACGTCACGTATCCGTAAAATCTCTCGTGAATAAGGTCATGTTTCTGTAACTTTCGTGGGTTTACGTTCGAAAGTGATCGGTCATTTCTTATCCTGATGAAGGTGACAGTGGTCGTTGAAAATTTGATCCTTGCATATCCTTGTGTTGGAATAAAGTTCAACGTTTTACTATGATTGCTACAGACACAGACGAACTTCCAAGATAAGCTATTCGTTTGTTGTGACCTGTACTTAACCCAGTGGGTTTGAATGAACAATAAAGGTATATTCCTTCAATAACCACCCTCCCATCTCACCCCAACAGTACATGGCGATCAACAACGTCCCGATTGACGGGTTCTACATCTACCACCGCGAGACGGATTTACTTTAGTAATAGACTATAGTGCTAGTGTGATCATGTACATGTACCTGTACTTAACCCAATGTAATACACAGGTCTTCATTCAATAATCTCTGTTTTTTACCCCAACAGTACATGGCGATTGACAACGTTCCGATCGACGGGTTCTACATCTACCACCGCGAGACGGATTTACTTTCATAATAGGCTTTAGTACTAGTGTGTACCTTGTACATGTACCTGTACTTGACCCATTATCGCTTTTTTGATTATAGTACATGGCGATCGACAATGTTCCGATCGACGGGTTCTACATCTACCACCGCGAGACGGATTTACTTTAGTAATAGACTATAGTGCTAGTGTGATCATGTACATGTACCTGTACCTAACCCAATGTATTACACAGGTCTTCATTCAATAATCTCTGTTTTTTACCCCAACAGTACATGGCGATCGACAATGTTCCGATCGACGGGTTCTACATCTACCACCGCGAGACGGATTTACTTTCATAGTAGGCTTTAGTACTAGTGTGTACCTTGTACATGTACCTGTACTTGACCCATTATCGCTGTTTTGATTATAGTACATGGCGATCGACAATGTTCCGATCGACGGGTTCTACATCTACCACCGCGAGACGGACAGCGACAACGAGAAGGACTTTGTCCAGACGGTGGTGAACGGGGTCGGCGTGCGCAGCTTCCGTCTGGACCGGCTCCAGCCCGAGGTCATGTACGACATCAAGATGCAGTGTTTCAACCGGGCGGGGAGCTCGGACTTCAGCAACGTCATGATGAAGGAGACACTGCGTACGTAGTTTATTTATCTTAGCATGAAAGTTCATCTGTGTTGGTACAAGTCATTATGAAATAAAGACTAAGCATTAACTTCCAACACTTAGATTATGGAATTGGGACTTACCCAAATTTTCGGTTGACTCCATCAACCTTGTTCACGGAGTGGACCCGAGTAGTCCAAGAGTAGACGGGTCCATTCCGTGAACAAGGTTGATGGAGTCAACCGAAAATTTGGGGTAAGTCCCAATTCCATAATCTAAGTGTTGGAAGTTAAAGCTTAGTCTTTATTTCATAACGTAGATTATTTATGTTATTATATTCACATACATGTAGATTTGTGACCATATGACAGAAAGCACATAAGGATCCTTTGCTCATGAAACATTAAAAACACAAACAAAAATAAACGCAAAGTTGGGGTGAGAAATACAAAACGTACATCAAGATGCAATGCTTCAACCGGGCTGGGAGTTCGTACGTAACTTTGTCTGACTTCTCACATTTATTTATGTAACCCAGTCAGCCAGTAGAAGCTGCTTTCCAACGGGGCCCAGCATACATGTACACAGGACAAGACATGGTTACATTTAGTCAAGCAACAAAAGGTGGACAACAATCAAATAAAATCTGATGCAACAGATTAAAACTGCATCCACTTGACCATTGCACTCAAATACAGATAACATAAAGACAATGGAAAATGTTATTTACCTGTAACTTCGCTGGGAACTGTTCCCACTCTTGATGATGAGGCAGAGCGCAGCAAAAAAAAGAGTATGAATAGGGAATAGATGTGTGCAACATGCAACCAACACTTTTGTGTGATACCTTCTGTACAGCCATAAGTTCGCTAGGAAAAGGGTAGACAGAAAGACATGAACATGTGCAACCAACACTTTTTGACTGTTATCTTCTTTTCCGTACAGCCATAACTTTGCTCAGAATGGTTCCCATCCCCATTATCAATGATCATATTTACAAATGTACAATTTTTAAGGTCTTTGGTATGACTCTGCCCCTCTTACACTTTACCCATTTCTCCATTGCGCTCAAACGCAGATCTGGTCATGACTGTTTCCTCCTTTCTGTACAGCCATGGGAAATGGAAGAAAATAGAAATGGGAGGTAGACATGAACATGTGCAACCAACACTTTTTGACTGTTATCTTCTTTTCCGTACAGCCATAACTGCGCTGGGAACCGTTCCCATGCCCGTGAACGATGCCGAAGCTGGGCACGGTAACGGCGGCGGCGGTGGCAGCGGTCCGGTCGACGTGAACATCTACGGCGGGGCTCCGGAGAAGAACAGCCCGGTCCTGAGCACGCGGGCCAGCAGTGACATGCTGTACCTCATACTGGGGGTGGTGCTGGGAGTCATGGTGCTCGTGCTGATCATCTTCATCGCTATGTGTATGTGGAGAGCACACCATCATCCTACCAGTGAGTACTGCTTGTGTTTTACTACCTGTTATAGTACGTTGATGTGAATAGTTTGATAGATGATTATAGTAGCTACTTCTTGTAGTGTCTAGATGTGGAAAAGCTATCTGATCTTCTTCATCGCCATGCGCATGTGGAGGGCGCACCACCATCCTACCAGTGAGTACTGCTTGTAAATGGGGATAGTTACTGGTAGAGAGATGATTATAGTAGCTACTTCTTGTAGTGTCTACCGTAGATGAGGAAAGGCTATCTGATCTTTTCATCGTTATGTGCATGTGGAGGGCACACCACCATCCTACCAATGAGTACTGCTTGTTATGGCATCTAGATGGAGAATTGTAGTAGTTTCTTGTATTGTCTAGATGGGAAAATGCTATGATATTACTTGCTTATTGTTGACTGTCAGTGTATTTTGTACGTTATTTTCCTGTATGTCATGTAATGTTTTACTGATGAACAATTGCTACTGTGTATGCCAGCTCAAACTCACTATATATATGATATCAGGGCTCAAAATCCTCAACACTGAATTTTATTTCCTGATTTGTTTTGCAGAAATGGACCTCGAAATCAGCAAAAGGTGAGGCTTGCATTACAGTTAAATTACATTCCATAATTTCCATTAGTACCTCAAACGTCTAATAATTTTCAAAATTTATCCACTTGCTTGAGTCTATGTTTTCTTGTGAAGGATAGAGGGGTTTTGTTTCTAAGAAGTTGCATGCAGAGTGTCTTGACATGCCTGTAAAGTGCCTGGATGTATTTTACAGGCAGTGTATGGAGTCCTACCAGAAGTCAATGATGGACGGAGACCTGGGCATGTACAGCGGCAGCGTGGCGGACAGCCTGGCCCACCCACACCCTCTCAACGGCCTGGAGTACTCACACTCACTGGCCAAGCTGGAGAAGGACGATACAGAGTCCAACTGCCCCTCACAGGTGGGTCTATGGGTCATATTATTACTAGCCTGTGTATACAAAGCTCTCGGCCGGAGGTTAATGACCCCCACCCCAAGAGCTTGTGGCAGAATAGCTGTAAGTCGGGCGGCCCGTTCCCTTTCCTGGAGTCACCAATAGGAAGCCAGTATTAGGAATTAATGTGGGAACCGACTGGGCCGGCGCCAGGCAGCCGGAGAAGGGCGGAGTACCGGGCGGGGACGAGAAATTTGATCGACTGCGGGTGGGAATTTCTCAGAAAAATGGCTGCGACTAGCCCGAAACCGAGTTTCTGTGCATTCTGGAGTCTGTGTGTGTGGACTTTGGGAGTCCCTGGCCCCTAGAGCCGCTTCAGGAATAGACGATACAATTTTTTCGTTAAACAGAGAAACAACGTGTTTTCGTGTCTTCCTACCGGCTATGAGAAGACCGAGATCGTGAAACAGTGCAGAGCAAGCGAAAACGGCGGGTTGACGACTGTGATTCTTGTGCCACGATGTTGACTCCTGTCAAATTGTCGATACTTTATAATTGCTGGAATCTAAAATGTTACTGGCTTCTCCTCAGCGGGAGTTGTTTATTGTTTTGATCGGTAAAACGCAGGGTAAAATACGCTAGAAATTAATTACTTTGTGGGTAAAAGAAAACTCACGCCGAGAGCGAGGTCCACACTTCCGGGTTCAGCGACGACAAAATGGCACGAAAAAAAAAACGTTAAAAATCCGCAAAGAAGTATATAATTTCGTGACTGATTCTTGAAACTATGCATTTCTTCACTAGAATATCGATGTGTGGTTGTGGAAAATAGCATTTTAGCGCTTATATCGAAGAAAGAAAAGTTGATTACACGCGCGTCGGCTCGGTCAATTTTCAATACCGCCGGCGCTGCCGGAAGCGGACGCTACAACTAATCAGAGATGCGAAATGTGGACATAGCCGAGTGAAAATCGTGACGCCAAATACAAATCCGTGGATGAGATTCTTTTCTCTCGGTGTGGCTGCCATTTCCCACGAGGAAGTTCCAGAAACTTTGGAAAATAGAAACAGATTCGACTCGCGAGCGGGTGGCCGTGCCTTCCTCGGCCAAACTTCAAGTTTGGGACATGAGAGGCGCGCCGACGTCCATCACTGGGTAGCGACCGACAGGCCCATAGCAACCATCTCTGTTGGGTGCCGCACCGTCTGAGGGCCGTTCGTGACGTTTGCATCTCATTAACCATATATGGCGGACCAGGGCCGTCGACAGTCCGCCAGCTTTACGCGTGCTTGACATCAAGCTTTTGGGGGGCGGCAACCTAGGGCGGCGGCCGCCAGGAGCGCGATTTAGTCAGGCTAATATTATTACCAGAGTTATCAACCATTGAGGTGTTGAGAAATCCTAGAACTATCACAGAGTGGAACTCGCTGTCACCAAGTACAGTAGGGGCATTGTCACTAGATAGCTTCAGACGTTGTTTAGAGTTAGATGTTCAAGGGTTAGGTGTCTCTAATTCTAAAGACATCTCACGCTCACGCAGGTGTCCCTCAGTAAGACGTTTAGAGCTGTGTCGTTTCTGTTAAGAACTTCTTCAGCCTGTCATACGTATTGTACGTAACACTTATTTTGAGTTGACAACACTTAATTTTTGCTATGTAATTTACGAACTGTAACAAACTTTCATGCTAATTAGTTTGCTGTTTAACGTTTTTTTTTTCCAGTGTGCTTCTTACAAGAAATGCTGTGTGGAGAGAGACAACGGTTCGATTTGCAGCGTTCCCCCACCCCGCACGTTTTACCAGAACAACAACCGCAGCCAGTGGTCGCTGCCGTCAGAGAGCCGGTGCGGCCTCAGTGTGGGTGAGGAGGATGACCAGTGCGACAGCCTGCCCAGAATGACGTACAAATATCCGTATTATAAACCATCCTACAGGCACGCAGGTCAGTTGTGCTTTTCACCCTTAGATTAAGAAATGAAATCGAGAAGAACCACAGAATAATTTCAGTAGGATATACTAGAATACAGAACACATTGATTGTGACACTGATTGTGGAATGGGAACCCAGTTTGTGGAAAACAGAAGGAAGACATGCATGTACTGTTTTTTCTCTGTTTTGATTCTCCTTCTCCAAACAAATAAGGTCAATGACTTTGACAAGACAGCTGTCACCGTGGTAACTAGTGCTGTAGCCGACAGACACCCTGTGGTGTTGGATTACATTATGTAGCAAGTGGCAGGACAGAGTTGGAGGGGCTGGTCACCATACTTATGAGTGTGTTTGAGTAAGAAGTACCAGAGCAGTAGTTTGTTAGGCCAGACCATCCCAATGTGAAGGTAAACATTATGCATTTGCTTTGCAAATGTTACCTTTCAGGTGTTTACTTATGTTGTTGTGTATTTCCTTGCCCCAGGTGTGAGCAGTAGAGGACATCCGGAGAAAGACTACCGAGTACGGCAGCATCACAACAACGCGGGTAAACTCCACACCCACTCCTCCGTGGAGTCAGACATCTAGCAAGCTCAGGAGGACGGTTCGCTCGTAAAAAAACACACTGCCCCTGGTAACGTTACGTGCAACTGGTGCTGGCAACTCAAACCATGACATAGAATCAACCTGCCGACGCCAAGAAGACACACTGCCCTCACAGAGTATATATACGCCGGTCGCCACCGAAATGTGTATCGAGAATAATACCTACTTCACTGGACCCACTCACTATTCAACCAACAACACCAGCGTCTTTTCTTAAGGCACAGGGTCTGTTCTCGGAGTGCTCAGAATTTGACTCCTGTGAAAACCGGACTAGTACCTACATGTACTTCAGCAGAGCCGCTATCCAACCAACACCGTCGCGTCTTTTCTGATGCAAAGGATCTGTTGTCGGTGTACTCAGAACATGACTCTTGTGAAAACCGGATGCCGTATGATGATGATATTTTCCCTGGGATGTTGAAGAGTCTGTGCGATGCTGTAGACTTTGGCAGAAGCAGAGATGTCGACAGCCCCGGAGGATTCTGTATTGTACAGTCACATTTCCCAGTATGCGGTGATGTACATGCACACAGCACTGTGGACGTTGTACATTGTCTCCAAAGAGCCTGCGAAATACTGCTTCCCGTGAGAGAGCGTACGCGTGTACTTATGCTTGTCTATATTTGTATTAATGTATATTTGTATATTACATTTTGTAACTGACATGGAGTTTAAGCTTTAGATGGTACCTGAGAGTCTTTTGATGATGTGCTCTGAGGCTTCGTGCTAACGTCAATTTAAATTAATTAACATTGTAAAAAGTCTGCCTTGTGCAATTTTTGTAATGATATGTATGTCCCCTAAGGGGAGCGATGGAAATGGAATGTGGTTCAAAACCACATGATTATTATATTAGACATTGTTGTGTTTGTATGCTTGTGAGTAAGGCCAAGACAGTCTTCTGACAAAAAAAAGCCATGCCAAAAGTGGATTGTATACTAGCCTTCGTGCCACCCGATTCGGTATAGGCTCCGTTCACTCAGCAGTTGATAAATGTTAAAAGCCAAAACTTTTGATCCAACACAAAGAAGTTCTCTCACCTAGAGCTTTTGACCGGTCACTCTGGTCTTCCTCAGTAGACTGACCCAGTGTTGACGTCACACTTCAAAGAAGCCACGTGACAAGCCTCACTGGGTCAGTCTACTGAGGAATACCAGAGTGACTGGTCCAAAGCTCTTGGTGAGAGAACTTTTTTTGTGTTGGATCAAAAGTTTTAACTTAAACATGTAACTACCAACACAGATGAACTTTCATGATAATTGAACTTGTCTAAGTGTAAGTGTAAGCGAGTACAAGGAGCCTGTACTAAATTGGACGGCACCCAGGCTAATTTGCACACTACCTTCATATCAATAAGTACAAGGTAACCTCAGGAAAGTTTACCAGTGGTAAGGGGTTGTGTTGACGGACTAACAGATGGCATCATACAGGGATAAGCCAGGTCTTCATACATTTATTCGTACAAAGGATCTGAAAGACAAATCAAAAGCACAGACTCAGCAGCAGAGTGGTATGTTAATCAGGTTTTCCGTGGTTTTTGTTAGAAAAAAAACAGTTTCGATATGTAAGGATAGGGTAGCACGTTGGCAGAACAAACTTTGCTTCCACGAAACCCAGATTTTTTAATGGTTTTTGTTGGATGTTTGGTCAACATCGCATCAGAATTTTGCCTGTTGGAGACGATATGTTTTCCAACACAACATATGAAAACTATAGACAGGATTTCATCCACAAATACGACCTGAAATGAGATATTCTGCCAAAGTGCTATGCACAATACATGACGGGTTTCGCGCAGGCACAGTACGTTTTGTGGATGTGCTTATGTATACCTAACTTGGTACCAGTAAGGCAATCTCTTAAACGATGCACACAACCCCTTACCAGGGTAGAAGTAGAGATCAAGTAAAAGACATGACACTAGGCCATATCAGCACCGTAGCTTTGGTGAAACGTGGACTTCGGTAGCCAGAGTATAGGGCCATATCAGCACCGTAGCTTTGGTGAAACATGGACTTCGATAGCCAGAGTATAGGGCCATATCAGCACCGTAGCTTTGGTGAAACGTGGACTTTGGTAGCCAGAGTATAGGGCCATATCAGCACGCTTTGGAGAAACGCAGAGTTTAAGGCCATATCAGAGCAGCTGGCTATGGTGAAAAACGTATATTGATAGACACACCTCAGCAAAGTAGAAGAGTAGCCTTAAAATAGTGAAATGACAACATTGATAGCCATTCTCTAAGACAGTGACAAAACAGAGTGTAGCAGCCTTTGCTCTGTAGTTTTGCTACAAATGATTGTGTAGCAATGTTACACAAAGTGTCTCCATTTTTGCCTAGCTTTATCTATAAGCAATGATACAAAAGTACCCAACACAAGTGCATATTTATAACTCACATTGGCTGCAAGAATAGGCCGGGTGAAAGCAACTTTTGTTTGTGACATTGATGATAATTATGCAGTACACATCTGTACTTATTGTAAATGTATGAACTATTGCTTACATAGCATCTGCACATTTGGTTGTCAGTCGTGTTAGGTCTGAATTCTAAAGAAGTGCAAATCTTTCTCAGGAGTATTTTTGAGAAGTAACGGTGACTGTTTTAGGTGCTTGAAAGCTGTGGATATGCCTTGGGCATGTGTAAATGTGGTATAAACACTGAGTTGATTTTTTTTTAATGTCAAATACTCCCTAGTAAGGTACGAAGGGCATAATGCAGATGTTTATTATTTGCTGGTGATATTTTCAAGGCAATGGCTGAAGATATGACTGCACTGCAGGGATGTACAAAGTTAATTTTACTGCATGCAATATACATATAGTTAAACTTTATAAGTTCAGAGGCGGTTCTATATGTAATAATTAGATAGACAAAGCGGGGTATGGTTAATATGTATTCACGTTTTGGGGGAGCGCTGGAATAATAGTTTGAAATGTAGCACTGTCTAACTGTATAAATTATGTGTAATTCACTCACTTTCTGTTGACTAATGATGATATTTGGTTGTGTTTGTTCCCAACCATGTCCAGTAAGCAGGGTTTGTAGAGCTTTGTAAAGATGAATGTAACGTTACTTGTGTACGGCCAGGTCCTACGGTGGACTACGTGTATGTACCATATATGTTTGACGGGCAACTCAGAATGGTAAAGTAGAACTGTGTGTCATACAGTTTTGTCGATGTATGTCACAAATTATTCATACCGAAAAGCAGCTACCGTATGTGAAAAGAAGTCGCGAGCCTTTCGTTGTCATCTATCTATGCCCATCCACACTTTGTAATAATTGCAGCTTTGCCATTTTTCTGCAGATATTCGAAATAGAAGATCAGCATTTCCACTGAAAACACTGCCATTTTGTTAAGCTTTGGTGGAATGAAAGAAAGTGGAGTCTACTTAGTATTTTACCCACAGCCTTGGTAAATTGTGGGCTGCTGCCTTGCCAGTAAAATGCTATAGGCTATAGCTGATGATTATGGAAAACACTCTTATACTAAGCTTGTTAATGTGTCAAATGTTTTGTGTCAGAAGGGATAAGCATGCAATGGTTGATCATTTTTACTCCAATGTTTCCCAGGATTTTGCAATATCTACCACATTGAGCATTACCAGTAGTAGAAATACGTTTTGCACTGTTCTGCAATGTTACAGAATGTCACAATTTGTTCTGCAATTAGGAAATACTTTCTGCAAGCACATCCGGATCTAAACCCATAGCATATACAGAATTGCATGATGGCAAACATTTTACCTGCAATTTGAAAAATACATGCAAAATTACTTCGTATCTGAACCCCTAGGATGATTTTCTCAGTCTGCAAAATCGTAGGTCGCTTAATTTTTCTTCTGCAATATTGAAAATGTATCAGATCTGCAAAGGGCAGACTGCAGATGGGTATTTCTAACACTGATTACATAACAGAAGTCTGCTGTTACTTTACAAGTTTGTTCGCATGCTTACAGTTGTCACAATTGTGCAGATATGGGAAGTTGCCGGGAATGGGATGCAATTGTTCTCACACTTTTGTGTAATTACTTAACTTAAGTATGTGGAAGAGATTCAACATGCTGTTTACCCCCCTTTTTATATGTATTAAACCAACTGATCTATACAGACTTGTGTTGTATTTTGTTGGACGTGGTGTATTAACCTCTACCAGGCTCAGGAAATAGAGTAGAAATCGGTCAAATAGAGAGATAACATGCCGGGAGAGTACAGTCTGGGTGCGGCAAACTGTACTTTCTAGCAGATCAACTCTCCCGGCATGTTATCTCTGTTATTTGACTGACTTCTACTCTTTCCAGACACTTTTCTAAGCCTGGTAGAGGCTAGTGGTATATGGAGATGTACATGTAGATAGGGTATTCACATCCAAATATTTTCCTTGTGCACCAAATGTAAGGATCACAATACTTCTTAAATTGTATGCTACTATAAACATTGGCACATGAAAACACTTGACTTTTGGATTGCTTGTATAATCAATATAGTGTGATGGCATGGAAATTAATATCAACACAACAATAAGACATATATAGAACAGTTTACAGCAACAAAGTCAATGAGACGCTGCATGTTAAATACACAGATGAAACTAACTGCAACCAACGCACACAAGTTTGTGAACTCTTTGGTTTAGGAACAGTGTACTATCATCAGAGTGAGTGGCTCAAAAACAGCAGAATACAACAACATTGTGCCACAACCAGTATTTCCGCAAATGAATGATACATGCTGTGTTACATGCAAAGGTTCACAGTATAGCACTACGAAGACTAGTATTTGGTTTCATTTAAACAGATGTACCGGTACATACAGTAGCATAACGTTACCATTTAAAGCAACCCCAACGTTTTAAGCGCCAAATTTTACCAACCAATATGGCTCTTCACATTTACATTATATCATTGTGAACATATTTTCAAAAGTTGGTCATTTGATAGTGTAATCTTTGTATTTACACACAATGAATTAGCATGGCTTAAGTTTCAATCAACCACTTCATTGCAATTTTTCCTTCTTGTTGAAATTGAAAGATTACATAGTTATATACATATGTACATGTTACATGTATTCTTTGCACTGAACTGAAATGAAGTACATGTAGCTCAGGAGGTTTAAAACCAAACCTTCTTGATGTATTCATCAATGGTCTCAAGAGAGGCAAAAATTCAGGCACGCACCAAGATGCACTTTCCAGTGATTTAAAGCACACTTCATACAGTGGATTTCACAAATCTAGACATAAGTGACCTCTCAATCAGTGAATTCATCAGGTCGTTCCAGACAACCTTTTATTTATTTTTAGGCCACACCAATTTAATTTCTTGGTTAACGGATTTGCCGCTTCATTTTTTTTCTGATTTGCAAATAAAAATAAAAATTCAGAATCAACTGCAAAATGCTCATCTTTTGCCCTGAAAAGTTTAAAACAGTCCTTTACATCCTAGTTGTTACAGTTGTTCCATCTTTCAATGCAATGGTATCATTAAAAGTTCAAAATTCATTGTTTAAATTTTGAACCAGCCTGGTGTGTTGACTTCATGGCTTCTATCGTACCATTTTGGGCCATAATACGATGCCTAGGCCTGTTTTTTTTTTTTCGTCCGCCCGCTCCATTATTTTTCTAGAAAAATCCGTTAACCAAGAAATTAAATTGATGTGGCCTTAGAGTCAGATGTAAGACGTGTCAGAATGTGGTTTCTTCAGACTTTGAGTGTGGTGGATACCTCTTTAATTCAGGCTTTAAGGTCCTATATACATTAGCCTGGGTAACCAGACCGCCGTGAGCTCATCGCTATCCCTTCGGCGCCGAGAGCGTTTGGAGCCGCCAACCAGGCCTCACAATTACCGCACTTTGGGGGATTTTACGTTTCTTCGGCAACAACGGCAAAAGAAGACTAAGCGTAATACAGGAAGTCAGTGGATACAGGGAAACCAGTTGGAGATAGGTCCGTGGTATAGCTCGCCTGTGCTTGGTAAAGGCCGGGGTCGGAAAATTACCGCCAAGCCGACCAAAGGTTTGGTACCCAGGCTATGTATACACTACATGTGTACAAATGTCGCGCTGGCGTCGACCGGCCTGCTCTTGACTTTTTAACGTTGGGCGTTTATTCGGTGGCTGCCAGGTTGGCAGTAGATGTGCGAAGTGAATTGGAGGAGACTGCCAGCTGATTTAACTGTGCATTTGACTGCTGTACCTGAACATGGGTGACCTGAGATACCCTCCGAGTTTCGCCGCCACCAGTGCTTTCGGGAATCTTGTTCCCGGTGTATATGGCGAAGAGAATGATGCACAGGACCATAGCGATTAGGAGCAGCACTCCGATGACGTACATGATGATCAGGAGGATCACCCATCCACAGCCTTTCCCCGCACAGCTGTACCAGTCGTGCTCAGGATCGCATCTCCAGCAAGCACCACAGCAGCTGCGGAAGGTCAGAAACAAGAAGGTGAAGAACAAACGACTTTATATACACTGATCATTGGATGCAATTAGCCTCTATCAGGCCTCGGGGGGCGGCTTGAAAGAGAAGAAATCGGCCAAATAGAGAGATGATCAGAGATAGCATGCCAAGGGAGTTGGTCTGCTGGAGAGAACAGTTTGCCGCTCTCGAAGCCTGTGCGGAGTCGTCACATCTTTGAAGTCCACTAATCGCTATCTAATAGGTACCAAGTACGTAGCTTTCAGTATATAAGTCAACTGTTGCAGAACAAAGGTGAATCGTTGAACGGCTGAAGATTAATACTTACGTCTCAGAACTCTCGTCCGGTACATCGACCACGATGTGAGGAGGCCGTGGGGCCAACGATGGAGTTTTGACGACGGCACTGCAAGATTATCAAGGAATATCATCAGCCAAAGTAAATAGGTAACATTTACAAGCCAATTTTACAACATTAACATGCATAATGTTAATCCTCACATAACAAGCACATTCATACATATGGTGACCAGCCTCTCCAACTCCGTTCTACCACTTGCTACATAGTGTAATCCAACACCACACAGTGTTTGCTACAGCCACAGTTACCATGGTGACAACTGCCTTGTCCCGGTCATTGACCTTATTTGTTTCCGGTACAAGAAGAACAAGAAACAACAGAGTAAAAAAAATGTTTTCCTTCTGTAAAGGTAAACATAACAAGTAGACGTAACGTTAAGTCGACAAAGACGTGTGCCATAGGTATGATGACACAGAATATCAAGACGTACCCAGGAGGAGAGTTGATGATCTCTTTAAGGCAGCCGAGAACCTGTTCTGATGTCGGTCTCTGAGGAGGATAAACCGCCAGCATGGCCAGGACCAGGGCCTGGGGGGGAAATAGAATCAACCTGTCAGGTCTCATTTTCTTTACAAAAACCCTGCATACATCGTTTGTACTTTTGTCGCGAAAAGGCTATAATTTGTTGTGATCAAAAGACCAAGTTTGAAACTGTGGTTTGTGGAGATCAGAATCAAGCGCTCCTTTCACTCTGCCCTCTTCCCTCCATCTTTTTTTTTGTAGTAGTAAAACAACTAGAAGAAGTATTTCACCGTCTGCTGACTGAATTACACACTCCTTTACATATACTTAAAATCACAATTCTTAATCACACTAAATAAAAAATACTCATATTTACAAACAGCATTTAACAACATGTGAAATCTTAAAAAGTTGTCGTGCTGCACAATCAGGCAGTATTTAAATCATTCGGCAGTCTAGCACAGTAGGGAATTGGTGAGTTCCAATATTGCTTAGTTCTGCTTTATATATGAATAGCTCCATTTTCACACACCTTTACAGGAGACTCTTGCGGTTCACTCGGCATCAGCAAGTCTGCCACCGGGCGCCCCGGATATGCGATCATGACCTCGGCTATGGCCGTGGGTTTCTCATTTATGTAAAGGGCAGGCACGAGTTTTCCTGGGACGGCTGGATCTGCGGAATCTGTCGCTGGAACCCTGGGATCAGTGGATGGAACCGCTGGATCTTTGGCCTGGGCGGCTGGATCTGTTGCTTTGGCGGTTGGATCTGTCGCCGGATCGGCTGGATCTGTCGCTGTATTGGTGGGATCTTTGGCTGGATCTTTCGCTGGGGCGGCTGGATCTGTCACTGGATCTGCGGGATCTGTCGCTTGCAGTTGGGCTGCTGGATCTTCCCCCGGGAGGGCTGGATTTGTCCCTTGGGCGGCGGGATCTTTCGCCGGGATGATGGGATCATCCAGTTGCAAGATCGCGGTGAAAATCAAACCCATGGCGAAGACGTCAGCCTCCGCGGTGTACCTCACGAGATCGGGTCGCTGTGCTGTAGGAACGATAGATTAAAACTTTTTAAAAACATGAAAGACAAAAGTACCCAACAATACTTACTTTGCACTAGATTGTATTGTTTGGTAGAGTACTGTGCCTTTGTACTGAAGAGTTACAGATGGCCATGGAATTGAATGACAGTGCAGCTGCGTCAGGGTCAGATGGTTGTAATATTGACTCTCATTTCTTGGATGGCTGAGATCTCGACCTAAACATATTTGTGTACGTTTCAAAATAGTGGTAAAACACTTCTTGCTACAGGTATAACAATGACACAAAGTTCAAATACTTGTGGACTGTAAACGCCCAACATAAAATTAGTTACGCTAAAACTCAACCCGCAACCATCAGCATGGTCGCATATGGCGGCGCCCATCTCCGTTTCTGTAGCCCTTGGGCCACACAGTAATCACTACAGCAGGGGGCTAGTCCGCTGGTAGTGGTGTGTGTTTAGCTCCTATACTCCGTCCCAAATGCTGAGTGCTAAGCAGAGAAAGCAGTATGGACCATTTTTAAAGTCTTTGGTATGACTCGGCCGGGGATCAAACTCACGACCTACCGAATGCAAGGAGAGCACTCTACCCACTTGGCCATTGCACTGGTTTTCGCCCAACATAAGCCGATGCCTATTAGAACTTCTGCTTGGAAAACAAGTTGTCGCCACAACTAAAGTAAAGTCTCACCCATGAGCGGACTTATGATCTCCGGTGCCAGGTACATCCGGGTGCCGTTAGCGTCCTGCCTGTGGTAGGTGTTTATATCCCAGCCGCCCTGCTCACACGCACGGACAAGCCCGAAATCAGCGATCTGGGGGACAAAAGATAAAGAAAGCGCTAACTGGGGTGCCAGAGTATACAGTGCAATTTTACGGAATACAGTGCAATCGTATTAATATACAGTGCATCTTTACGGAATACAGTGCAATCGTATTAGTGTACTGTATACTAGTAAAATTACACTGTACTGACTAATACGATTGTACTGTATTCAATAAAATTGTCCTGTATACTAATACGATTGCACTGTATTCCATAAAATTGCCCTGTGTACTTGTAAAATTGCACTGTGTTCCGTAAAATTGCACTGTGTACTCTGGCACCCCTGGTTATTAAAGCATACCTGCTGCAGGTTGTAAATTGAAATTAGACCACAGCAAGTAAATTTTATGGATCATCCGCAGACTCCAAATCTAGTGCGGTAGGATGAAAAAAACAAGGCGGGCCAAGAAAAACAAGATTCATACATTGTCAAAATTTCTTGCTGTGGCCTTCAACAGTGGCAACGAAAGACACAATTTGAGAACAGTGTTCTGTCGAAACATGAAAATCATTTAGCGGGAAAATTTTGCACGGCGCCGCAAAGAACAGGATGAAACATCATGAATTCCAACTGACCTTAACAACCGGTCTCTGCCCGGAGTTGTCCACCAAGATGTTGTCAGGCTTGAGCGCTCCGTGGATGACGTTCCTGCCGTGCAGGTAAGCAACGCCCTCTGCCGTGTCACACAGTAACTGCAGAATGGCTGCTCGGTCAGCTTTGTTGCTTGTGATGAAGCTGTGTTGCGCAGGATGGGGATATAGGGACATTTACAATATTTAACGTTCATTTGCATGCACAGGTCGTGCCTTTTTATATATATTTGGATCATGCGTGGGTCATACACATATCAGCCCGACCAGAGATAAAGCTTTCCACAAACTCAGCCCCGCCCTTCCTTAAGGCCTGCAGCTGGTCACAACGTACGTGCTTCTGCGTGCTGTCTACGTGCAAAAACGTGGGCAAACGCAGGGCATCCGTGCGTGGTGAGTACCGCCTCCGTACGGAATCCTACGGATTTGGGAGCACGCAGACACGCCGTAGAATTTTAAGTGCATGTGAAACTTTTTCTGCGTGCGGTACGCACCACCCGTGCCGTGCGAGTACGAGCGACGCGCGTGCCCCGTACGTGCCGTGCGGAAGAAGCACGTGTGAGTACGGCCTCCTTACGGTAAAGTTGCAATCGCATAGAGATCGTACGTTGTAAGCACGTACAACTCACTTACTACTTGCGCAACTAACGATGGACGCAACCGCTCACGGCCAGACGTGGCGTGCTGACCACACTCTTACACCTTGCGCAACCGTGCGAGTGACGTGCGTCGACGCCACTCCTTCCCAACGTTTTCAGAAAACACGTAGCAGACGTAGCCTCCCAAAAAACGTACGGACAAAAAGCACGTGCGGAGGGTTGTGACCAGGCCTCGACGCTCTTTAGATCCATGGGCCTTTTGTTGTGAGGAGATGTACAATAATGTAATACCGCAGAGTATACCGATTTAATGGCTGCGACCCCCTGGCAGGTTTGCTTCGGTCGGTAAATATAGACAGTATCATGTAGCATGGAAAGAAGCAATCCGTACACTTGACGCTGTAAATGATTAACCTAGCCTACATATGCAGATCTAGACTTTGTGTAAATATAATTGTTTGGCTCCCTTTCGATCCTAGCGATAGTCATAGGGCATAATCTCCAAGCAGAGGTTCAGGTTTCGGCTTATTTTCTACGGCTTTTATGCGTTTTTATCGGGGTTTCTTTTTTGTATCTATATCTTTTTTTTTCTAGGATGGTTTATTGACTACTGCCCTGCCAATTTGATACTGTCTTGTAGCCACCAAAAGATCCGCTTGGGGATTACAGAGGACAGACGTTGTTGAGAACACTTACCTTAGCCTCTACCAGACTTCGGAAGCGGCTGGAAAGAGTAGAAATCGGTCAAATAGAGAGATAGCATGCCGGGGGAGTTGGTGCACAGGAGAGAACAGGAGAGCGGCAAAATGTACTCTCTAGCGGACCAACTCCGGATCCCTTGGCATGCTATCTCTCTATTTGGCCGATTTCTACTCTTTCCAGCCGCCTCCCGAAGCCTGGTAGAGGCTATACTCACCTGTCCAGTGTGCCTCCTGTGCAGTATTGCAGCACCATCCACACGTTCAGTGTCGGCGTGTTCAGGCCGGTCTCTGTAAACACTTCGGTGTACTGCAAGATGTTGGGGTGGTCTCCAACCTGGATTGTTGAGGGCATGGAATATGTGCATATCCAATAAACAGTCTTCGTGGGATCACAAACCAGCTATCTTTTTTTTTTATTAATCATACAGGCAGAATACAGGACCTAGTGGTGGCACACTCAAGTTAGGAACTTATTTTGACACCACCACTAAATAAATACATACAATAAAGAAAATGAACATACGCTTCAAAATATGTACAAAATTAAATTAAGTGCAAGTCTGGTTCCTCACCCAAGGATTGAATGATGACAATGGAAGGACACTATTACAAATATCAAAAGAAAAAAAGCCTTTAAAAACGTTCTGGGTAAGTGATGATATGTTGGAGTTGACAAACCAGTTATTTGTGTCACTCAGTATTTCACTGAATATCTGCACATCTATCAATGGAAAGGAAATTGGAATATTGTACCATTTTCCTTTTCGTTCTGTGCGTAAGATTTTTGAAAACGTTTTTCCTCAAATGAGCCGTCCTTTCATTCGCATAATTTCTTTGTTTGTTTAACATTTATTCTATATATTCTCAATCGTACAGGAATTTGAAAATCGTGACAAATATAAAATGATTAGGTTCGTTCGCTGGTCTGTCACTGCTGAAAATAATCACCAATCCTACCTGCTGTAGAGTCCAGATTTCCTTCAGCACGACTTGTCCAACGTCCAGTGAGTCCACGGTGAGACACTTGAGAGCGAGCGCGCCGCCGTCCTCCTTACGTTCCGCCTTGTACACCTTACCGAACGCGCCTTGGCCAAGATCTTGAAGGATCGTGTACTTCTCCATCTCGGCTACAAATGAAACGAAGCGAAAAAAACATAGCATGCCGAAAAGTACAGATTTGTCAGGTAATGCCTTAAGCTCTTATATGGTCAAATCACACAGTGTAAAAGCTCAACCTAAAGCAAGCGATCTTTAATAGGTGAAAAAGTCCTCAAACAAACAAACAAACAAACAAACAAACAAACAAACAAAGAGACTGTCGTGCTCACCTCGGCTTGGGGAAAGGAAAAAACTTCTTCTGCTAAGAACTCAATAAGCACTTTCACTTGTCTGAAGACGTACAATAATTTGAGTCATTCTAGAAGCTCACTTGTCTAAAAATGTCGGCTAACGGCAAAAAAATGGCTCAACCTTAATAACCACTCAGGTGAAAATCCCTTTCTTCCCCCATTCACCACCTCTTAGGAGGAAGTTCCACGCTGAAAGTTTCTTTCCTATAACAACATCACAATGGAATAAGCTACCTCGTGATTGCTTCCCCTATGAGTATAACTTTAAACTTTTCAAGTCTATGTCTACAAACATCTGTCCACACTGACTGTACAGTAACCCAAAGCATTTGAGTGGCTTTCATGAGCCTTGTTTTGTGGTGAATCATGATGTAAAAAAAAAGACTTCCGCCCGTGTTGCGGGGTTGCTAGGGTTCAGAACGTTTGTTTTCTTCCCGACGACCTTCACCCAGGTGCTTTTTGCTGACGGTGCCCTTAATCAAGAATGGGACTTCGCCTCTTGAGTGACACTCTGCGGGTTAATCATTTCTCGACAAGTGTAGGAGTAGATTATAGTATTGACGGAAAGATTAATGATAGCCTTATCCAACCGCAATTAGCGACCACCTGGGCACAACTTCGACCCAACAACAAACATGACTGGACTGGGGCCGTGTGGCGCAGTCAGTAGCGTCTTCGGCTAGGAACCAAGAGGTCCCGGGTACGAGTCCTGACATGCCACCGACCTTGTGCCCTTGGGAAAGGCACTTAACACAACTTTCCTCACTTCACTCAGGCAAAAATGAGTACCTAGCTTCGGTTAGGGCCGTCCATCGAATAGGACGTTAAATGGAGGTCCCGTGTTTGGGAGAGCCACACCCCGCGCACGTTAAAGAACCCACCACACGTATCGAAAAGAGTAAGAGACCTTCCCGGTGTGAGTGGTTCAAACCTTACAGTCTGGTCTCAGGTTTGACATCTTTGAAAAGGTGATAGTCACCTTTTATGTCAATCCTTCCACAAATGTGGTAAATCGTCATAAATAAATGACATACCAGACGCAAACGTGGTCTCACCCGTACACAAAGGCTGTGATTTTCTACCCCCTACACTGTGATTTAGCCCCATACATTGTCCACCAGCATAGGGGTGTTTTTTTTCTGGGGAGAACCTTCATAAATCTTAAAACAGATGAAAATATAACTTTAGAATGAAGTTATAAACGAGGAAAAACATTAACTTTACAGAATCTGTCCCTGAATCAGCAAGAAATAGTGATATATGTCCAATCGGATCTTAGGAAGGAAATTTGTAACCATTTCTGACTTCCAAGTTTTTCTGACATGTTCTATGGGAAACCCATTGCCATCACTCCCCACGAAAGCTAAAATGTTAGACATGGTAACGAAACGCTACTTACCGCGTGCTAAGTTTTCTTCCCGTAAACGTGCATTTACGTACAATGCATATCACGCAGCGTTTCTCAAAACGTCGGGCATAACACAAGTGCTTCTTTTTTTCAGTTTTATTTAATTAGGTTCTGTGTAAGAGACCTCAAAGACGTACGTTTGCAATGGATAACATATTAAAGTGTACCTTTTAATTTAGTGTGTGATTGTGTAGCTGTTGACTCGTGCGATAGCTATTGGTAGCACCATTATATTGCGCACGTACAGAATGACACTTGTACAAAAGCACGCTTGTTGTAGCTACCGTCGCACGGCAACAGAGATAGGATCAGGAACCGGGGAATTTGCTGACATTTTGTGAATTTTTTTTCTTTTTCGTATTTCTCCTTTCAACTTTCTTGGTCGCCTTTTTTCATGTCACCTGAAACAGCTTGTGCTCTCGATCTTGATTCCACCTTCACCGCCGACGTCAACGGCATTTGCTCTTCTGTACTTTTTGTACCTACCGTCTCCTGTGTACCTTCGCCCCTGAGTACTGCACTGCACTTTGTTTGGAAGCGAATTTATGCTACTAAGGAAGGCTTTTCACGATGTTGATAGTAAACCAGGCATTAGAACGTCTGACCAACATGTTACAAAAGTACAATTTAAGGCAATTTAACTTTGTAAATTCAACAAAATTCAGGCTATGCAAGTCTGCAAGTTGAATAAAGATTCCTTCTTCCTCTTATAATTTCGTTTCATGAAACATAGAAAACAAAAACAACAACAAGCGAGCAGACAAAACATATTAAGTTGCGCCAGCAAAGACGGGAAAAGACTAATATATATGCTTGACTATTAGACAAAGAGAACCTTTGAAACCATATAAAAATCACCTTGTTTTCTTAGTCTCTACCAGACTAACCACGCTGGCTATATATAGGAGAATATTTGCCGGGGGAGTTTGGCCCCCTTGTAGGTTTGACTGGCCGGGTAAGAAACAACCTTCCCGCGGCCGGACTTCCCTGGCCAATTTTGCTCTTTTTTTTCGGAATTCTACGATCCGTATTCCCATAGAAAGGCCTGGCGGAGGCTATTGCTTTTTATGGTTGGCCACTACTGAAATAGCTCCATCTTAACTTTGCGAGTACTTTTCAGCTTACTTAAGTTAAGACTGAAGTTATGCATGTTATGTGCGCAACGTTTGAGAAGAAAGGTGGACCTACCTGCCGATGGCAGCAGCTTTTTGCGCGTAGAACCGTTCACGGAAGCTGACAAACAAAATTCAGAGGCCCGGACGCGAAGGAGAACTGGCGAACAAATGTACAAAGTACTTGAACTTTGAAACGCTGGATCATGCGCATGGCAAACAAATGCACGCCGCATGTAAACACTTTTGCCTGGCAGCTTGGAATGCTTGTATGATTTATAATGGAATGTGTATAATGGTATGATATATAATGGAATGAAAGTTCATAACGTTCCAAAATCATATCCAGTTGCTTGAGTAACTGCTTTTTGGCGTATCTTATTACCTGGATGTCTAACCTTCATCGAAATAAAGTTCATCTGTGTTGGTATTAATTATGGCGAAAAGGCTGACCAACACTCAGTAAGTTGGGACTTTCCCAAACCAGATTTCTTTGCGAGAGGGGCAAAGGAAGTGGCGTACATTCGGGGCAACCGTCCAACACTGAACATAGACGGGGGGCGACACAGGCTACCTGACACGCACGGCCCTGCAAGCTGCAGTGGACAGGCCCAGTTCAGTGAAATTCGGGTAAGTCCCAACTTACCTAGTGTTGGTCAGAACGTTTATTCTTTTCGACATAATGTAATGGCGTTGTCAAGAGCAACCGTGTCGGCAAAAGTTTCCACAGGCGAAACAGCCAAGTCCCCTTCCAGAATGTGTTTATTCTTTCATATCCTCCAGACGTGGCTACACGTAAGCGATCTCACGAGATGGAATACTAGCATATTCCACACGGCATGCCAATAACATGAGCGAAAATATATTTCATTCAAACTGTTTGCGAGAGGCAATGCAACATCTTCGCACCACTCGCTCAGCCCCCCCCCCCCCACTTTGCCACGTTCGGCAATGCATACAACACATCACAATTTGACAACAGCAAAAAGGTATAACACACAGTTATCACGTCATAGCATATTCTTCCACATATCTGTGTGAATAATGTCAAATCTGCGCTTTCTGTACACCATTCATAAAAAGTTCATTTATTGTTTGTACAATAGAACGTTATGTGCAAAACTCATCAGAGGGAATGTCGTGAGTGAAAAGTGCAAATTTGTGCCAAGACAATGTACAAAAACCAGGCCTGTTTTTGACACACCTGAACATTTGTATATTGTACACTCGTACCTATTGCTTCAGCTGTAAACACGCGTGCACACATTTTTTCAAACCGTCGAACAAACTGATCCTGGGTACAATTTGTACATACATTGTTGATAATGATCAATTCGAATTCATTTATATTTCGTTCACGTAGACAGCCCGGCCGGGACCCGGCTTGAGAATTGTGACTTAGCACATTTGAATCACTGGAAGTTCCCGTTAACAGCCCGGCCGGGCCCCGGACTTAAGCACTAATCGCCGAAAGCGCCGAGTGTGCCGACTGCGAACAGAAAGGCGAGCGCGGCGGTGTCGTTGCTCCGCTCCACCCTCGCGGGTCTGTCGTCGTCCAGGCTGAGGCAGACCGACAGGACGCAGAGGAAGCACATGTAGGCCACCACGCACATCACGGCGAAAATGACCGCCATGATGACCACCAGCCACAGGATCAGCAGCACGAAGATCCATCCCGGACCTTTCCCCGCTAGGTGGTACCACTCCTCGCCGTCATCGCACCGCCAGCACGCGCGGCAACACGACGACAGGCTGCAGGGACAAAAATCTATCAATCGACCAATTAATCAATTGATCTTTGGTTCGATCAGAAGGGTTTTGAGTGTTGAATGAAACCGACGTACGAGTGATTACATTTCAGCCTTTCCATGCTTGATGAATGTTTTCGTTTTCAGACATCTAAAGTGAGACCTATATCGTCCATGAGGATACAAAACAATAGCCTCCTGTGCAGGCTCCGGGCGTGTGGGAGTTTTAACGCTGCGTTTCATAGAGTTTTTAACGCGTTCTTTTAATAAGTTCCGGGCATTAAAGGAACGCGTTAAAAACAGTGTAACAAAAACGCAGCATCAAAACCCCCACACGCCCGGAGCCTGCACAGGAGGCTAACAAAACAACCTCAGATGACTACGTACCGATCCTGCCACGTCTGAGGTTCAGCACTCCCCTCCTCAACCGGCACTTCCACCACGGTGTAGGGAGGGGGCGGGCCCGGAGGTGGCATCACCGGAACAGCGACGATGGCGGCCCTACAAAACAAGGAATATGCTCAGCAGAACTATTAACATCCTTCATCTGACGAAGGTTGACGAGTTCGAGTTTACATGTTTGAAATGTCGGTAGAAACATGTACCGTGTCTGCTGTAAAGCAGATCTTATTTAATAAGACGCTTACCCGGGAGGAAAATTGGTGATCTGTTTAAGGCTGCCGAGGACCTGTTCTGATGTCGGTCTCTGGTGAGGATCAGCTGCCAGCATGGACAGGATCAGGGCCTGGGGGTATAAAGTACTGGATAAAGCACGTTTCTGGAAATCGATGAAGCACGATTCGATTCTGGATAAAGCACGGTTCTGGATAAAGCACGGTTCTGGATAAAGCACGGTTCTGGATAAAGCACGGTTCTGGATAAAGCACGGTTCTGGATAAAGCACGGCTCTGGATAAAGCACGGCTCTGGATAAAGCACGGTTCTGGATAAAGCACGGTTCTGGATAAAGCACGGCTCTGGATAAAGCACGGTTCTGGATAAAGCACGGTTCTGGATAAAGCACGGTTCTGGATAAAGCACGGTTCTGGATAAAGCACGGTTCTGGATAAAGCAGGGTTCTGGATAAAGCACGGTTCTGGATAAAGCACGGTTCTAGATAACACGTACCTTTATCGGAGACCCCGGGGGTTCACTGGTCATCAGCATGTCTGCCACCGGGAACCGCGGATGTGCGACCATGACGTCAGCCACAGGCGAGGGCTGTCCGTTCGCGGGGTCCGGCAGGAAGGGCGTCACTTTTCCCGGGTTGAACGGAACTGTCGTCCGATCCAAGATGGCGGCCACGATCAGGCCCAAGGCGAAGACGTCGGTCTTGGCGGTGTAGGTCACCAGGTCGGGCCGCGGTGGCTGTGCTGTTGACCGTGATGACGTCAGAACGTTAGATCACGTCACCAGACGAGACTACCTATACTTCACTCGCAGGCTCTCCAACTGTATGTTCTGCTACATAATGTAACCCAACCCAATCGGGTGTCTGCTACAGCACCAGTCACCATGGTGACGGATGTCTGGTCCAGGTCAATGACCTTATGTGCTTAGATAAAACTGAGCACTGAGCAAAAACACAATGTATTCCTTCTGCGAACGTGAACATAAAAATCAACCGTCTTACCCAGCAGTGGTCCGATGATTTCAGGCGATAGGTACAGTCTGGTGCCGACCGCAGTCTGCATGTAGTAGCTGTTGATGTCCCAGCCACACCGCTCACACACACGGGCAATACCGAAATCCGCGATCTATTAAGGGACGATTGATACAGAACTTTCATCAAGCCAAAAAGTCCTTCATTTCCTGCACATATTGCAAATTATGAAGGCCCACAACGACATTGCGACATTGACACATCTCCCAAAGCACTCAGAGAGTTCAGTGTCGTTGTCGGCCTTCGTAGCAAATAACTTCCACTTAGATCCTCCAGTGCTTAGCGGTACACACAACCACCTTACTTTTTTTTCTTTTGTCGGACTGCCACGGCCTTAAATATACAATTCAAGGCTGACACCTTAAGACTTAGACTCAGATCCTCCAGTGCTTAGTGGTACAACGGGTGCCAGTCTTCTCCACTCTCAGGGACACGCCACTAGCTTTGCACATTCAGTTTAATTTTCCCTTTGTCGGACAGCCAGTACAGGGCTTTGAGCCTTTTTATAAAGAAAGGCTTAAAGAAAGGCTACCTATGTACAAATTGACACTATAAATACTGATTGACCTTGGCAACTGGTCTCTGCCCGGAGTTGTCCACCAAGATGTTGTCGGGCTTAAGGTCTCGGTGGACGATATTTCTGCCGTGCAGGTAGGCAACGCCCTCTACCGTGTCGCACAGTAATTGCAGAACGGTCCCTCGGTCATGGTTGCTACCCAAGATGAAGCTGAAGAGTGCAATATTAAATAATACATGCGAACTTTGTAAGCCCTTTATCTTTGCCATATAACACCCTTATGTTTAATGCTGTAACAGGAAGAGAAGAAGGAGAGTCTCAAACCCTTTCTTTGGCACACAGATAGATATGCCAGACTTCGTAGTGCAATATATTATACAGCACGCAATTGCGCAAACTAGTGTAAACATGGTCAATGGCCCAAGTAACCATACTAACGCATCTGTAATCTCCAAGCAGATCCTAGGGTGGCAAAAGACAGTATCAAATTGGCCAGGCAGTATCCATTTGCCATAGAGGGTCCAATACGCCACCCAAGGACCCTCTCTGACCAATGGATACTGCCTGGCCAATTTGATACTGTCTTTTGCCACCCTAGGATCTGCTTGGAGATTAGTAACGCACCTGTCCAGGGTGCCCCCGTTGCAGTATTCCAGCACCAGCCACACGTTCAGGGCAGGGGTGTTCAAACCAGCGCCCTCTGTGAACGCGTCAGTGAACTGCATGATGTTCGGGTGTTCTCCGACCTACGTTTTAGGCAAAATAACAAATTTAATATAAAGCGACCTTTTCGGAATCAGAAGGTGCTTACACGTGGTCAACACTTTTCCTTGTTTTCATTCTTTTCTTTTCCTGTCCTTTCCTTTTTAAAATTTCCTTTACTTGGAACAAGGATTATTTCACTAGCAATATTTATGTCTGTTAAGTCATGCCAGACTGACTTGAAGCTAGAAGGATAACAGCACACGAACATCTTCCTATTTATCTATTTATTTATTTCATTTTGAAACGGCTGGGTAGCCTATTCAGCTAGTAGAAGCTGCTTTCCAATGGGGCCTAGTATGCAATTACAGAGGACAGGACATTTAGTCAGGCAACAAAAGGTGGACAACAGCCAATTCCAAATAAAATCCGATGCTTCAAAACAAAGCATATCCATGAATATCCAATACTACTAGTATCTATTGCTAACAACAGCTGCACTCCTTTTCTATTTCGTTTCGGAAATAATCAGTCTTACCTGCTGTAGAGCGCTGATTTCCTTCAGCACGACTTGTCCCTTGTCCAGTGAGTCCACGGTGAGACACTTGAGAGCGAGCGCGCTGCCGTCCTCCTTACGTTCCGCCTTGTACACCTTACCGAACGCGCCTTGCCCGAGCTCGTGTTGGATCGTGTACTTCTCCATTTTGCCTGTAAGTGAAACGGAAATCAGGGCTCGAAATTAAAGGTGGTCCAGTGGCCACTGACCACTAAAATTTAGGCTGGGACATTTTGGGGACTGAATGTCAACTCTTTTTTGTTTATAAGGCACACGTCCCGGCTTTTGGAGCCGTAAATGCCCCCCTCCCCCCAAATTTCCTGTCTACTCTGCGATTGTAGTGTACATGGGAGTGAACATTAGCCTCCTTTTCAGGCGTTCCCGGATCGGTCGTTTTTTTTTTGGGGGGGGGG